GCTCTAGGATGGCAATTAAGGTAGTCATCAATCTCATTATAGGGGAAAGGCATCAAAGGCAGCCTTTCCACTACTGCCTAGATTCTTAGTTGGGGTCATCTTTGTGGATCTGTGAACATTTTCCTAGTGCCAGATTTCTCTTTAAACCTATACTGGCTCCCTCTATTAAGGTATCTCTTTTCTTGCTCTCCTCTATTCCTTCCCTGACTCAGCCCTCCTGATCCCTCTTGTTCTCCTCTCCCCTCCTCTTCTCATCTTCTCTTTTTCCTACTTTCCTCCCCTTTACCCCTGTGTTCCTAATTGGCTCAGGAGCTCTTGTCCCTTTCTCCTTCTTCGGGAGACCATGTATCTCTCTTAGGGTTCTCCTTGTTTCCTAGTTTCTCTGGTGGTGTGGACTGTAGGCTGATAGTCTTTTGATGTTTGTCTAATATCCATATATGAGCGAGTACATACCATGTGACTGGATTACCTAACTCAGGATGGTTTCTTCCAGTTACATCCATTTGCCTGCAAATTTAAAGATTTCATTGTTTTTCCACTGAATAATACTACATTGTGTAAATGCAGCACATTTTCTCCATCCATTCTTCAGTTGAGGGGCATCTAGGTTTCTTCCAGGTTCTGGCTATTACAAACAACACTGCTATGAACATAGCTGAACATATGTCCTTGTCGCATGAATGTGAATCAGCTGGGTACATGCCCAAGAGTGTGATTGCTAGATCTTGAGGTAGACTGATTGATTCCCATTTTCCTAAGAAACTGCCATACTGATTTCCAAAGTGGCCACACAAGTTTGCCCTCCCATCAGCAATGGATGAGTGTTCCCCTTTCTCCACATCCTCTCCAGCATAGACTGTCATTGGTGTTTTTAATTTTAGTCATTCTGACAGGAGTGTGATGGTATCTCAGAGTTGTTTTGATTTGCATTTCCCTGATGAGTAAGGATGTTGAACACTTTCTTAAGTGTCTTACAACTATTTTAGATTCCTCTATTGAGAATTCTCTAGTTCTGTACCCTACTTTTTAATTGGATCATTTGGTGTTTTGGTGACTAGCTTCTTGAGTTCTTTGTATATTTTGGAAATCAGCCCTCTGTCAGATGTGGGCTTGGTGAAAATCTTTTCCCATTCTGTGGGCTGCCATTTTGTCTAGTTGACTGTGGCCTTTGCTCTACAGAAACTTCTCAGTTTCAGGAGGTACCATTTATTAATTGTTGATCTCAGTGTCTGTGCTACTGCAGTTATGTTCATGAAGTGATCTCTTAATGCAGAAATATTAAACTACACAAAAGGGGATATCCTAAGTTATTTATTGAAAAAGAAATCACTTACTTGATTTGCTTTTTTTTCCTTTTTTTTTGGTTTTTCTAGACAGGGTTTCTCTGTATTGTTTTGGAAGCTGTTCTGGAATTCGCTCTCTAGACCAGGGTAACCTCGAACTCACAGAGATCTGCCTATCTCTGCCTCCCAAGTACTGGGATTAAAGGTGTGTGCCACCAACACCCGGCCAGAAATCACTTACTTGAATACCAGGAAATCAAGAACTAAAGGTCATGGCTGCTCTCCAGGTAGAAACCGAAACCCAAAGAGAGAGAGTTCCCTCCCTGTAGCTCTATTTACCACCTTATGTTCTACATACCTGTGAACACACCCACACGGGAGTGGTCAGCACTTACAGATATGTAAAATCACTCTCTACAATCTCCTGTGCCAATTTGTTCAAGGACCTCTCACTTCTCTTCTAAGAGGTTCGATGTGACTGGATTTATGTCGAGGTCATTGATACATTTGGACTTAAGCTTCATGCATGGCGATAGAAAAGGAACTATCTGCAATCTTCTACATGTCAGCATCCAGTTATGCCAGCACCATTTGTTGAAGATGCTTTCTTTTTCCATTGTATATTTTTAGCTTCTTTGTCAAAAATCAGCTGTTCATAGGTGTGTGGGTTAATATCTGGACCTTCAATTCTATTCCACTGGTCAACCTGTCTATTTTTGTGCCAATACCAAGCTTCTTTCATAGAGCTTGAAGTCAGGGATAGTGATGCCTCTAGAAGTTCCTTTATTGTACAGAGTTGTTTTGGCTATCCTGGTTTTTGTTCTTTGTTTTTCCGTATCAAGTTGAGTATTGTTCTTTCAATGTCTGTGAAGAATTGTGTTGGTATTTTGATGGGGATTGCATTGAATCTGTAGACTGCTTTTTGGCAAGATTGCCATTTTTACTATGTTGATCCTACCTGTCCAAGAGCATGGGAGATCTTTCCATTGCCTGGTCTTTCTTTAATGTCTTTCTTTAAAGATTCAAAGTTCTTGCGATACAGGTCTTTCACTTGTTTAGTTAGCATTACCCCAATGTATTTTATGGTGTTTGTGGCAATTGTAAAAGGTGATGTTTCTCTGATTTCTTTCTCAACCATTTTGCCATCTGTATATAGTAGGCTATTGATTTTTGAGTTAATCTTGTATCCTGTCACTTTGCTGAAGGTGTTAGTCAGCTGTAGTTCCCTGGTAAAATTTTGGGTCACTTATGTAAACTATCATCTGCAAATAATGAAAGTTTGACTTCTTCCTTTCCAATTTGTATCCTCTTGATCTCCTTTTGTTGTCCTTATTTCTCTAGCTAGAACTTCAAGTACAATATTGAAAAGGTATGGAAAGACTGGACAGCCTTGTCTTCTTCCTGATTTTACAGGAATTGTGTTGTTTCTCTCCATTTCGTTTGATGTTGGCTCTTGGTTTGCTGTATATTGCTTTTGACATTGTTATAGAATGGACAAACCTCCACCCTTCTGTCTAGAAGCACTTAACCTGACAAGAATGATGTCACCATTCCAGTCTCCAACATTCTGCTGAACACATTATCTGGCTGCTCTCACTATTCCTGTCCCCACATGTAGAGTTTTCCTTTTTAATAATTATTTTTATTTTAAATTGTGTGTATTGTGGTAGTTTGAATAAAAATGGCTAGTGGGTCTCTGAGTTTAAGGCCAGCCTGGTCTCCAGAGTGAATTCCAGGACAGCCAAGCTTAGGAAGCAAAGGAAACCATCAAAAACAGAAAGATGGTGAGGATATAATTGAACAAGTGGCCACGTTCCAGCCCCAGCAAGCACCAGAACTTGGCAACTTGGCCATGTAGTTCTGGCTTTAGAATTCTACTAAATAAGAATATCTTGGAATGGAGAGATAAGGGAGAGGACCAAAGGAATGTAAAGAGGTTGATTGGTACCAGGACAAGCAGATCAAGACTGGTCACATCCAGAGAGAACACCATCACTCGGCTGGGGTGAGAGGTGAGAGGTGAATGACACGGGAATGAGAAAATCACAGACACACAGACACACATGCAGAAAAGCTGGGATCAGATAGGTTAACTCTGATGACACCTACGACAAAACTCAGTACAAGGAGGACAGGCTAGGTAGTCTCACTAGGAGCTCTCAGTAGTCTCTGGTTGCAGTCATGTGGGTGGAGGAGAAGTTCAAGTCCACAATTTCTTCCCACAGTCAACCATGTGTAAACACTCATACCTGGACCAGAAAACAGCTTTGCTCCCTCTGAGCCTCAGCAGAGGAAGGCTTTGCTATTTCCATAGGGGCAAGGCATTAGAGACTTGACATGACTGTCCTCATGTCAACAACTCGGGACTTCACCTGGCCCCAAGATCTTATCACAATACACTCCAAACCTCCAGTTGTTCCCAGTCCCAATCATAAGAAAGGGTGAAGTCCCTGTGCTAGTCTCCAGGCTTTCAGGTCAGCTTCATCAGAGACCTCTTTTCCTACACTCTCCTTCTTGGTGACTCTAACTCAGTCACACTGATCTCCTCTCTGATCCTGGAGGAAGGGTACCCTTACTTTGAGCTCCTGCACCCCACCCTCCTACATAGGGTGGGTACTCTCCTCCTTCAAGTCTTTGCTTATATCTTACTTTCTCCAAAATGTCTATGCACACAACTTGGTTTCTTGTTATTGTATTTGAAACACCTACCCCTGCCAAATGTCAATTTTATGCAAAGCAAAGATTGCCTTTTTTATTCAGTGCTATATTCTAAGAGTTTAAATCAATTCCTGTCATTTAGTGTTGCCCAGTAAATAATGAGTGAGTGAATGAATGAATAAATAAATAAAATAATGTTAGAGGACTTTAGAGAGGCTTTCAGATTACTTGGTCAAATGGTTTCTAGTATTATGAGATCTTTGGAAATCATGATGGCATCTCTATTCAATGATTTTCAGAAAATGGGGTAAAAATTGAACTTTTGACCTTGATGAAATTGCCCATTCTTATGTGCCAAGGGACACTGAATCTGGATGCCAAAGTGAACTCCAGGAACAAGGTATACTAATTCTAAACTATAGAAAATGACACAGTATATATTATCTGTCAGATACAAGACCAATTTGGAGTTTAAGGCTTTTGATAACATCTTATCTTTTTAAAACCAAGTTTGAAAACTGTGAAAACAAAAAACAAGCAAGTGTCTTGTAAAAGCAAATACATAACAGAAAATAATTAGACTACAAGATTTAAAAAGCTCAAGAGGTGTATACATCCTGATCATACTTATGGTTTTATAAGAATTAAATTATAAATATAAATTTTTCTAAGAGGCTACTGAGCAACCAAGACTTAAACACTTATTAAGTTTGTTCATTCTAAATACTCAGTACACAGAACTGCTTAAGTATTTATTTTGCTCCCTCCCCCACAGCTCACAGGCTACAACTTTTATGTGGGTCCTAGAGATTTGAACTCAGATCCTCATGCTTGCTCAGCTAAGCTATCCGTCAACTCTACTGTAAGAATCTGGTAGACAAGTAACCACTGTATCAGTTCTCCATTAAAGTACACTTTCTTAAGGACTAGTACAGTGCTGAAATGTATTTTTAAAAGCTACCCTAAATTGAATTACATATGACTGTTTAACCCATTGATTGTATTTTTTTGGCTTCAGTACATATTGATAAACCCACCAAGAAGTTGGAAAATGACTTACTTTAAAGAAGGAAGCAATCAATGAATTAAAAATTGAGTGGTTGGTTGTGCTGGGAGATGGTTTGATTTCATGGCACCTCCTGCAGATGTGAGAGAGAGCATTTCACTTCATAAGGGAAACATTGGTCGACAAATAAGAACCGTTATCATTTTATATAGATTTTGTGTTACGATTTGAAGTTAAGAGTACTCTTAATTTTAATTTTAGCAGACTGCTGTGTTGCACCCCTCTAATCCCAGAACTAGAGAGGCAGAGGCAAGTGGATCCCTGAGTTCCAGGTTAACCTGGTCTACAAAGTAAGTTCCAGCACAGCCAGAGCTACACAAAGAAACCCAGATCAGAAAAAATGAATACTTCTAATTTCACGCTAGAATAGAAATATCAGTCTCAATGATCAAATCAAAGACAATAATCTGAGGAATGTTAGTTTCTATAAATATCTAAGTTCTATAAGAATTCAGTTACATAGAAAGTAGTTTCAAATAAAAAGGCATGTAAATAAAAATTCATGTATATTCTTTTTAAACAACAGAACTCTACAGATGGTCCCCTGGCCAACATTATTTTCTCTCTCATTTTCATAATATGGGCTGGAAAATGTCTCAACCAAATTAAGCTAATGGAGGTCAGTGTATGAGGCACTCATCTGAAGAGCAAGGAAAAGATAGAAGAAAGACAGGTAATGATTTGTGACAGGGGCCCCGAAATTTGATTTGAACAATTCAATTATGTGTTTTAAAGTCCCCCAAAGAAATGTGCCAAACAGCCCTCCATTCTCAATGCACACAGATGAGACACAAAACTGCTCTCGGCAGTAACTATGCATCCCTTTCTCTACAGCATGCAGTGGGGATGGATGGTAAGATTGAAAAACAAAGCCAACCTCCAAAAGTACATCCATAGCCTTATGTTGTATACTTCCCGTAATTTTGGTTTTCTCTTGGATGAGGACCTCAAGCCTCGGTCTTTGTTATTCAGATCCCCAAGGCAGGGTCTATGGGGCTGTTGACTCACTGTCATATGTACCCAGGCCATACCCACAGGCCAAACCCAGACTTTGGTGGGCAGGCTTGCCTATAGATCCAGCGAGTTGATGATGAATGGCTGTGAAGGCTTTGTGATTGTTCAGGCTCCTTTGTAGGGCCGGACAATAGAAGAGGACATAAGTATGGCTCAGAAGAGCAACGGATAAAACTGCTGGGCAAGATGGAGGGCTCCTGCCGACAGGACCACTTGTTGACATTGAAAGAATTTCCCAACAAGTGAGCAGAAACAGAAACGATTCTGTTCAGTAGAGCTATTAGTTGCAACGTGTGGCACCGGAGCGGTCACTCCTCATGAGTTCGTTCACTAATGAGCTCTGAATGCCCATTAAACTGGGCTGCTATAGGCCCAGAGCCACCCGGACAATGGCATGCATGAGTACCTTCCTCTGTCGCTATTGGCTGGCTGACGGAAGAAACAACTGGTATCACTCAAAATTAAGCAGAGTTGACAGTACAGTTAGATGATCATTAATTAGTGTTTGTGGGCAGATGAAGACTCATAGCCATTTTTGATGACAAGATAAGCAAGCATGACTCATTTTGAAGCATAATTCAGGCCAGCTCTGCCCTATTTCTGGGGCCATGTGGAATCATAGCCAAAGGATTTAGACAGGGTCAAATAATTCATACACACTATGTTGGGGAGGACAGAATCTTTTTTAGGAGTTCTTGGGGGATTGACTGGTAAATTGGTGAGAATTAAACCAGTAACATGGAGTAAGTCTTATGAGAAGGGGTGTATGATGAGTAGTTCCAAACACCTTGTGTTCAAAGTCCAGAACTGTTACTTGTTGGGTGAGCTTGAACATTGTGTTGGAGTAGGAGTCTCCATTTCTCTGCAAAGAAAGTAACAATAATCCCAGTGCCACCTTGGGAGCTGTATTAGTTACTTTTTTTATTGGTGTGACAAAGTGTCCCACTAAAGTAAATTAAGAAAGGAAATGTTTTCTTTGCTTCAGGATCCAATCCATCCTGGTGACAATGCTATTGCGCAAGGATTTTAAGACAGCTGGCCATATTATGTCTGTAGCCAAGAAGCAGAGAACAATGCGTACCCATGGCCATTCAGCTTTCTTCTTTTTATTTATTTGGGGATCTCAGCACATAGAGTAGCAACACACACATATAGGATGGATCTCTCCACCTCAATTAATCTAAACTAGATAGCACATCACAGATGTGCTCGGAGGCTTATCTCTTCAGTGAGTCTAGATTTTTGTCAAATTGATAATCAATTGACATCAGAGTAGGATTATCACAAAGATTTAAGAGATGGCATTGTAATTTATAAAAATGACAAAGTTAGATTTATCATTTTCCAAAGACACAAGTTGTGCATAGAAATAATACCAACATGGGGTAGGGTAGACTTCTACCCTATAGAGAAATAAATGTGAAAATGGTGTAGTGAAAGAGCATATTTAAATATTTTCCTCAAACATTTTATTCTGAAAAAATGACTAAAATGTCATAAAACCTCAGATGAACTCAATAAGAAAATAATTTTCTTTTTCTCTTATTTCTATTCTGTGATACTGTCACATATGTATACTATGTGTTTGATCATATTCACCTCTATTACCTTCCTTCAGTTCACTCTAGAACCACTAAACACATCCCCCTCACAGCGTCATGTTCTTTATTTTTTTAATAAATAACTAATTGAGACCCATTAGTGTTATCTACATGCCTTCCAGCAGCCCTGCCTACCAGTGACATGGCATTCTTTCTTCCCAACAACCATCAGCTACCAATGGGTCCTCAGTTGGGGGTGTGGGGGTGGAGTCTGAGAAACCAATCCTCATTCATGCTGGAATTTTGACTGGTCTGATCTTGTGTAGATAATTATAGCTACTGTAAGTTCATGGGTATTATAGTCCTATTATGTCCAGAAGACAACATTTCACATTTCTCTTCTCCATCTACTGGATTTTACATTCTTTCATAATATTCCTTGAGATTTGTGTGGAAGGAAGTTGAGAGAAATGATCCATCTGCATTTGAATATTTAAAGTCACATTCTTATCACTTTCTCCAATTCCCCTTAGGACTATGGCCTCTTGAGTCACAGGCTTTTGAGAAGGTTTACAGTACTAGACATGAAACTGGCTTCCAAGGATCAGGATTCAAATGTAATCAGAAAGTGACTTGTTACTCCTAATGCCACTATTACACCAATGGTCACATCTTTCCTGGCAGGTTGGTATTAAAACATACAGGATTCAGTGCTAGGTTAGACCATTGATTATATAGTATTTTTTTCTCACAGCAGCCCACATAGCACCCACCTCTTGGTATTATGAAAACTAAGGAGAGAACACCCTGGTAAGTTTTAAATTGATATTCATATTTTGTAATATATTGTAATAAACAATGTATAGTAAATTGATTTACTAAAACCAATCTGTGTGTTGTCATCAGTATTAAGGTCTTACCATCCAGTGATGATGGGCAACAAAGAACAATAGTAATAACCTTGTGTTGGTGCTGAGACCTCTGGGGCCTCCCTGACCAATGATTAACTCATAGGGAAGGATCCCATGTCTGGAACTGAGATTTTCATTTATAGTCCATGTGTTCTAAGAGTAGCCTTGTTCACCCATGCAGGTAACCTCTGTTCAAACTTACTTTTATTAAATTACACGTTTAATTACCCTACAAGCCAATGAGTGTCCATAAGGTTTCAGCATTTATCCTTAATTTTGGTTAACCTATAACCTACTTCCTCACCACTCCCATCTCCCTGTCTCTATCCCAAAGGAGAGCAGGACAGAGTTAACTAAAATGAAAGATGCATGCAAAAGTTATTTGGAACCTATACTCTTACGATACAATTAAAAGAAAACTGTGGGGAACAGAATATGTATGATATGAAGGAAGTGGGAGCAGGAGACTACTATAGGTTAAAATGTTTCTGTTTGTTTTTATTTTAGGCATTTCTCTTAATTATTTCATGATAGCTTCTTAAAAACAATATTAGAAAAACCAAATGGAGAACAATACCATTAATCATGAGCACCATGTACTTAAATATCTTTTTCAGAACATAGGAAAACTTCCTGTGGTAGTTTGAATGTAATTGGCCCCCGTAATCTCATAGGGAATGGCACTATTAAGAGGTGTGGCTTTGTTGGAGTGGGTGTGGTCTTGCTGGAGGACATATGTCACTGTGGGGGTGGATTTTGAGTTTTCCTATGCTCAGGATACCACCCAGTGAGTCAGTGGATTTCCTGTTGTCCACAAGATGTAGGACTCTCAGTTCCTCCAGCACCACATCTGCCTGCATGCTGCCATGCTCCCCATCATGACAATGGATTGAACCTCTAAAACTCTAAGCAAGCTAGCAGGCAGCTCTCCTCTGTGGCCTCTGCATCAGCTCCTGACTCCAGGATCCTTCCCTGTTTGAGTTTCTGTCCTGAATTCCCTCAGTGATGAACAGCACTGCTCAAGTGTAAGTTAAATAAACCCTTTCCTCCCCAACTTCCATTTTGGTCATGGTGTTTTGTCACAGCAATAGGAACATTAACTTGTCACAGCAATAGGAACCTTAATGAAGACACTCCCCAAGCTCATTCTTGATATCAAAAGCTTTCTTATGCTGATAACTCCTAAATCTATCTAAAATTTGCTTGTTCCCTGTGATCCAGTGTGAATAAAAACTTACTGATGAGCATGTGTGGATATTTCACAACCATTTCAGAATTAGTACATCTGTAAAAGTAGGTTGGTTGTCTAATAAACTACCTCAATATTTAGTGGCTCAAAGTAGGAAGTATTATAAGTACATAATTAAATGGGTTGGCAATATGGAAAGGGCTCACCTGGGTGTTTCTTCTGGTATTGGCTAAATTAACTCATGAGTTTGTGATCAGGGTCTGGTTGGGAAGAAAAGATTCAGTCAAAATGGCTTGCCTCTCTTCTCACATGTGAGCTTCATGGGAGTGGGGCACGTTCCAAACTTTTTGAGACCTAAGCTTAGAACTGTCATGGCAAGAATTCTAGGAGTTGGGGAAAAGGAAGTGAAAAATACTCCACATTAAATATAGATTTGGGCCTGGATCATAACCATAGCCAGCTAGTCTTCACCTCTAATGTTAAGTTTTAGACCAACTTTTGATTGTTATGGAAATATTATCACAAATTTAGCAGCATCTTTTAAATAAACACCCATTTATTATGTCATAGTTATTTCTGGGAGTGAGGAAGGAGAGCTGGGTTTGGAAAATAATTTTTAATGGGCCTTATTTAAAACAAAGTACTGAAGTAATTGGGTAAAGTGCTTTTGTTAACTCTACACAGAGGTAGAGTTCAATACCTTATTTTAAAAGCTTTATAACATTTGAAATATTCCTTAATTAAACTGTTTGGAAAGGGTCATCCACATTTCTGACTGATACAAATAACAGAAAAATAAAAACCTGAAATCTCCTGAGTCACAATAAAGCAGTTAGCTGCTGCTTTGTTATCTATTTAAAATATTTTTGGCTCGGGAAATGAGTAATTTGTATTTTTTTTTTTTTTGGTTTTTATGAGACAGGGTTTCTCTGTATTGTTTTGGAGGCTGTCGGTCCAGCCCAGCCTCGAACTCACAGAGATCTGCCTGCCTCTGCCTCCCAAGTGCTGGGATTAAAGGCGTGTGCCACCACCGCCCAGCGAGTAATTCGTATTTTAAACTTGGTTTGTGCTCTGGGAAGAGAGACTGGCAAGGGTTTTATATAGAAATGGTGCCGACATTCTGGAAGCATCAGTAGCAAATATGCAAGGAGGAGGTGATGCCCGGTAGTTCTCCTTGGCCTTTGTTATGTGTCTTCCTTCCAACAATGGCTGAAAGGGCCAGGTGGTCAGGCAGTTCTGGGTTATTATCACCACTTTATTTATGTCGGCCACCAGGAAACTCCACACTGACCTTGACACTGTATGGGAAACTTCAGCAACTTCAATGGGGCTTCAGCTCCAGCTTCTGCTGACTGGAAAGCAACACGCTTTCACTTGAGGAATTTGGCCTGGCTTGTCATTTTTGTTGAGAAACAGCCTGGAAAAAAATGTAGAGCAAGTGAAATTAGTACAGAGCATTTCACCTTTCTGGAGCCTCTTAGCCAAGTACCCTCGTAACCTTAGAGCAAAGCCATACAGACGTGTGGCTGACAGTGCTACTATATCTAGAGTCGTTGCATCATGGAAACACCTAAGCAATGTTTAATCCCAAGGAAACCCATGCTTTGTAGTGTGATTTTGGAGAAGACAACCAAGAAAGGTGTTTGGGGGTTCAAGCCCTTCCATATCTCTTGAATCCCATCAATCAAATTAAATAACCCCATTATCTTGTATGCAAAAGTGTCCCCAGTCTAGTGAGTTGAGTGGGGGCTCATACAATTTGAATTGTTTTTTGCTCTTAGAGCTACAGTTCTCAGAATGTGGTCATGTCTGCAGACATTTCTCATTGTCATAACTAAGAGAGATAAAGGATGTTAAATTGTTCAATATCTTACAATGACATAGAATGAACACAGTCCCCAGCAAATATCCTTTACCCCAAATATTAGGAATGTTAAGACTGAATGCAAGTGAAATTTAATATTAGGCATTTAGAATATGTTAATTTTTAAAATAAAAATAATAATTTCTATATACTGTGGGACTCTTCAAATGTATGTCTCACAGTCCTCATTTTGTGAACAATTACATTGACTTTTGGAAGGAAATATCAATCCCAACCAAACTATTTACATATTTAATCATTACAGATTACTTTTCAGTAAATGAGGGCATTTGCAATAATGCTATACTGTACTCAATGACTTAAATTTTCTCAGGTTGCAGTTTTTCTCTAAATAGTTTATAATATCATGGTTAGTTGTTCTTTACCCCTCCAATAAGAAAGTATGTTTTCTATTGTATTCTATTTCTATTGTCTTACCCAAGTGGAAGGTGTTCAACTGTGAAGGGCTTATAATTCTCAAGCAAAACTTTATGGTTCACATTTTAAAAATTGCTATGTTTTAAATTGCTGGTGGGGGCAGGAAGGAGTTGACTGAAGCAGCTGCCATGCATCATGGGAAGGTAGAAAGTGCTCCAGGAAGTAGGAGGCAAGAAGCTTTTCTCTTAATCTGGTGACCTTCAAAATGTGTGTCCTGAACCCATGTGAATTTTACCTGAGTATCTACAAGTCCTATCTTCCCCTCCCCATATTCTAGAGCTGCAGCCCAACCACTCCCAGCCCCAGAAGCAAATTCATGGCAGTGTGGGAATCACAGGTCAAAATTCACTACTTCTGCTCCCCAACAGAGCAAGTCACTCACCTTCTCAGACCCTTGGGGTTTTTTATACATTTATCTTTTTGAGTAAAAAAGCAAAAGACTTGAATATAAACACTTTTCAAGTTGAAAAGCATAATAGGATATTATGAATCCATGGCAAAACAGACTGCGTGCAGAGGAAGACCAAAGGCCTGGGCTTCACTTTTAGTCTGTTTAAATTCCTCTACTACTAACCCCAAAGCAGAGTTGTCTATCCGGGGCATGTGGTTTAGTCTGTTTATCAGTCAGGTTTCATGGAAATGACTCAGTGTTTACTAAGGTAAGCAAGAAAACCTGCAAGGCTTGCAGAAAAAGGCACCCCCCAAACAATGAATTAATGTTTGGTCCCTGGCATAATTGTGTCTCGATGTGCTGGGGCTGTGTTGATAAGGATTGGACACTGAACTTCAGTTTCACTGATAAAGTCCCCAAACATACTGTGGAGGTGGCATTTCTTTCTAGGCAAAAACAAAAAAGAAAACTTCCAAAGTATTAACTTGTAAATCAATTTCTCAGGCTCTTACTTCTGTCTCGATTGCTGAGCTGCCATCGAGGCAAATGCTCTCAGAATGACCAAGTTGTAGAACTGCAGTTGAACCTTAAGACATTGTTATGTGATGTTTTATTAAGACATGCAATCATCTTAAGGATCTATTTTGCCGCCAACCTGAAATTCCAAGAGGATCATATGAGAGTATTTGCTTCCCTGTACCACAAACACAGCTGAGTAAAGCCTCTACAGAGATTACATAGATGTTAAGAGTTGTGAGCTATTTTCATTCCTCTGGCACATGATGCTAAAAGGGCATCCTAGAAGGCCGTGTGACACCGAAGCAATTAAAATCTCTGCAAATGTGGCTTCTAATTAGAACACAGAGAAAGGTTAGTGAAGTTTTCACAAATGATTCTGGCCTCAGAATCCACCCGTGAAAATGCTCTCATTTGCCACCACCGAGAATTGCTTGGAGAATAAATTAAATACCAAGTTAAGGAGATATTTGGAATATATTAGAGAATGTAATGGTTGACACATTAGGGGCATCTGTCAGTATCCAAGAACAATTTAAACGTATAGGCTGCCTTTTTAAACTGTGGACATCTTCCAATTCTACTCACTGTATTCAGATTTTCCTGGTGTGAATGGGTTTACTTTCAGAAACCATGAACATGGGGACAAGTTTCTCTAGAAACCATGAATCTTTTGGTGTAGGAAGTTTGAAAAGCAATGTTAATGGGATTTCAACCATTGAAGGCTCTGGATTTGGTATTTCAGTTATAAAACAACATCGGTGGAACAATCGATCAGCCTGTGGGCATATCATTGCTTAGTGATAAGGACGACCAAACGGAGCAAATTTTGATTGCCCAAATGCTGACAAGGGTGTCCTTCACCTCCTGAAATGTACCTACATTTGCCAAGACCTCATAGGGATTCCTAGAAAAGTTTAGCTGTTCAGAGGCCTGGAACTGTGCCCTTCTCTCCTCTAGTCTCCAGGTCTCTGATGCCAGATGTGCTAGCGACAAGACTAGTGATGATGCAGCCAATGTTTGGCTTTGCCCACAAAGCACTCCCATCAGTTCAAGTAATAGCATATGCTTTGTGCGGGTCCAGGTCACTCGCGTAGGCCGCCACGCTGAGGGGCCCCCTCTTGTAGGATCGTCTTTCTCTGTTCAGCTCTTCGCTATAAGGGAAGACATTTTGATCCACATGGCACAGTTGGGAATACAAGTTGAGAAAGCCTAAGAGATTTGATTAAGATCATACTGCTAGCATTGAGGCTGGCTTCAAAGCCAAGCTTGCCCAATCCTCAAGCAGATAGCATGTTCACAATACCGTATTGTTCCCAATTCAATTTGGTCCTTTCTGTCTGAGACTCAGAAACTCTTCAATATTCACTGAATGGTGAGGTTGTAGACCAAGATAACTCTCAAACTTTCTATGAGCAATGGCTGCCATCATGGGCAGGCTACAGGCTAGTGGGAGGCTTTTCCTTTGGGTTCCTTTGTTTCCTCCTCACCACAACCCAATGTAGCTGTTGTACTTCCCTGTTTATGTCGCTCCTGCAGGCGAGGACACACATTGGAGAGTTGAGGAAACGGAAAAGCTGGAGTCAAGCCCAATTCCTCGATTTTATATGCATGTTTGCCATCTATCACAAGTGGTTCATGTGGGTAAATACTGCTATTTGAAAGTTGTGTTAAGAATACGAGCATCCGGGAAGCGTGGGTGCAAGCGTCTCTCCTTTCCACCAATAAATAAGTTCTAGTCATTGCTGACATTAAACAGGTTTGCTTGGTCTTTGGGATAGGACTGTGTGCGTGCCTATCTTAAATTCTAAGATAAAACAGAAGCTGGGATGGCCTAAAGGGCTTCATTTAGTCTTATAGATATTTATTTAAAAACTCAATTATGGATTAGTATTTGTTTACCTCAGCTTTGTTTTAGAAAGACAGTCTTGGTACAGCTCTAAATCGAAAATTAAAACCTTGGCCTTTCAAATATTTACTTCCTAGTTGTTTAGCCTTGTGATCTTAGAAGACAAAAGTTCATGGCCTTCGTGTATCAAATGAGTCTGGAAATGCCTGCCTGCTGGGTTGTTGCTGAATTGACAATCAGAGGATGGAGAAATGTTAAATTCTGAAATGTCCTTAAATTTGTGATTTGATAAAAAAAGACAGTTTTCTTAGCCCCAGAGATTTGAAGGAATTCATGCCTAGACAGAAAGGGTTCACTACCCTGTCATTACAGAGTGTATATGGCCCCTCCTCCTGTGACTGTCTAGATGACAAATATGATGACTAATCTCCCTCTTCTTATATCTGGGGTCTGACACATAAAAGGGGCGCTTAGTAAATATTCTGAAGGCTGGGTGAATGTATGGGTGGGTGGGTGGATGTAAGTGCCTTTCAGAAAGTAAGAATGTGAAGAGGAGTGGTCCTAGAAGTTCCTCCATAGTCCCCATGGCACACTCAGTAGCCCTGAACACATCAACAGTCAGTGCTGCTTCCAAGTCAAATAGGTGTTCTTTGTGTATTTTATAGCTTCCTTTTCCCTGGACACATTATCTCTCTGCAAATGTATTGAACTAAGAAAATGCTAGCTTCTAACATTCATGAGTTACACCTTAATTTATTAATGTAGGAAATCATCTATATTTTGATTTAAGTGTACACATTCCTGAAGTGTTGATCCTGAGACCACCTATAAAATGTATGGTTACATTGCCCAATTTGTCCCCAAAGTCCCATTTTTTATCTGCTAGTCTAGAGTAATGTTTTACTGATTTATTCCTATTTTTTTGAGGCAGGGTTTCCTCTATGTAGCCTTGTTATCCTGGAACTTGCTTTGTAGACCAGGCTGGCCTCAAACACAAAGATCTGCCTGCCTCTGCCTCCAAAGTGCACTGATTAAAGGTGTGTGCAATTACCATCCAGCTCTAGAGTAATTTTTAATAAGTGCCATTCTATTATGAAAAGTGTTCATCTAATTTTATTGGCATGTCTAGCTTGCCTGAACCTTCATCTTTTTGCCCAGCTTTAAGAGGTTAATAAGGTAAACTTTGGGGTCTTGCTTCTACTGTAGATATTAATACTATGCCATTCACTAACCAGTTATGTATTCTTGGGCAAATTACTCCTCTTTATTATTATTAACTGTTGATATCCAAATATGGTTGATCGATGTCCGTCTCACTGGTCACGGTGATCATTGAGATACATATGAAGAGTGGGTCCA